TTTGCATCAGAACTCAGGTACATTTTTTGGTAGACTAAGTTTCAGTTGAACTTTTCGCCTGGTAACTTGTGCATAATGGCATCTTGCATTTTTCAAGTTCTTTCGCGCCTGAGGGAGCGGGACATCTTTCTGAAAACCTGCTGTGAGTCCGTGGATGCAGGTGTCAAGGGTTTCTAAAGAATGATATGCACTCTATAGAGGGGAACATGGGCACCTGGGTTTTCTGGCATTTCATCCCATTGCTTCTCTTCTCTAGGAACTCTGACCTTCCTATGCATGCAGCTTCTTGCACAAGCTCTCTTTCTTCCCCACAACTCAGTCCCTCTTCCCTTTCTTCCTGCCGAACATTCTCAATTGTCTCTGTCTTTCTTTTTCATCTCAATCGTCTTCCGCACATCCAATCCAACTTCTTGTGCCTACCCCTTGCCAGCTAGCTTTTTGCTGTTTGATTGGCCCAAATGATGCAGATCTGACTGTTGCATGGAGCGTGGCTAAGTCCCTCACACTGCAGGTCGACGATGTAACTCACGAGCCACTCCCTACCCTTCCCGTTCTTCCCTTCTTCTCTAACCTTTCTGCAACCCCGCTAAACCCCCGCCTGCGTTAATCCATCTGACTTAGACTGATTTCATCCCAGGCAGACAGATCCTCACAATGTTCTAATGATTTGCCAGGTGCTAGAAGTGGCTGATTGAGATGAGCCTGGACTGGTGGTTATATTGCAATGACTTGCTGTTTTCTGGTCGCCTGTAGCCTCTCTCTGTCGAGGCTGTACTATAGGTAGGACAGATTCGTAATTTTGTTTGGCTGAGGGCTAACCGAGAGACCTACCTGTGAGGGAAATTCTTGAGGGACAGATCTGTAAATCCAGGAAAATACAGGCCCGGTACTAACTTGATTCCCTATAGCTACCCTAACTGCGGATAGCAGGCCCGGGCTACCCCTAGACAGACAGGCCCTATGGGCCTATTCTGAATAGACGGTCCTATAACATATAGCCGGGTCCGGTAGAGGCCGAGAGGCCGAAACAGATACGGTACCGGTCGGTCAGTCAGTCCGGTCTAGGTCGGTGTAGGCTAGAAGTAGGATGGGCACATTGGTTCAGGGCTTTTGGCAGTTGGTACCGTGTACATCGCGGCTGTGCTATGCGTGAACCGGAAGTGGTGACGGCTCAGCGTGGAGGAAGACGGGCATAGCCAGACCTTCGGAGTGCAGGCCATAGCTGGGACCTGCGCTGTACTCTGCCAGCACGCAGGGGCTGACAGAGGTCTGGGTTATCGAGGTCTGCTGGAGGCGAGAGAGATTGGTGCCCTGCTGGACCCTCCTCCGGAGTGGGGTCCCAGAGGGTTTGCACTGCAGCCATAGCTGCAGCCTCTTCATCTCAGAGGTCATCTGATCAGGGTTTGGTGGCGCTGCTGCAGGCTTCCACCCGGGAAGTCTCCCGACACTTCGTCATCATCAGATACTGTGGTGCTGGTCTTCTTCTTCATCCTCTGAGTGGCGCTTGGCCTCAGAGGCCTGTTTCAGGGTGGCGCTGCCCCCAGGAGTCTGTATTTGGGTGGCGCTTGATGTTTCAGGGCTCAGGGGGTGTTCCGGGGGTTAATCAGGGTTGGAGAGTGAAGCG